ATCTGGAAGTGTGTCAGTGTGTACAGTAGGACACACACAGGATTTTATGCTCAGATGCAAAACTGCTCCCGGCAAAGTGAGGGCCCTACTCCCCACAGCAAAAATATGTCGTTTGGAGGCTAAGGAAGGTGGATCCCTTGAGCTAAGGAGTTTGAGACCAGCCTGAGCAAGAGCAAGACTCCATCTCTACTAAAAATAGAAAAACTAGCCAGGTGTGGTAGGGGGGCACCTCTAGTCCCAGCTACTCAGAAGACTGAGGCAAAAAGATTGCCTGAGCCTAAGAATTTGAGGTTGCTGTGAGGTATGATACCACAGCACTCCACCAAGGGAGATAGAGTAAGACTCTGTCTCAAATAAATAAATAAAGTCCTCTGGCTAGAAGCCAAAGATGTAGGAGTCTCTTATCATCAGGCTGTTCCTGCCAAGAGATGCTAACTAAAATGGTCTGCCCTCAGTCCAAGCCTCAATGAGTCTGGCTGCCTCAATGGCCTGCACATTCTGTATCAGATGATGCTCATGCTACTGGTTCATGACCAGTTCTGATGTGTTCCTGTGTCCTCCTGCCAATCCATGTGTATTTCCTGCAGTTCTCTGATAAGCTCCTGAACCTGAATTGGATTTGCCTGTTAAAGGTTTTCAGGAAGCCCACACTAACACACAGTCCTCCAACTCTGCATCCTGCACATTCAGAGAACTTCTGCAGCAACTCCTGCCTTCCTCTTCTCCTTTAGGACTCCTAGACGGGATTATACCTTGTGTGATTCAGCAGGCCTCATTTCCTTTTTGATGCCCCACATACCTGTTGTAACTGCTCAGAACTTTGATGGACAAAGAGGCTGTACAACTACCCGAGCAGACTCATGGATGGCAAGAGGTAGAGAATGTCCCAATCAGACCAGCTAGCTTAGACCATTCATGCTTTAACCACTACCAAAATTCAAGAACCTAAGGGCTTCCTCCATAAAACTCAGGTGAAATCTTGTCCGTGCTGCCTGCTACTGTGTTTGACCCTAACTGCACTAGGTTAGGGTAGCGATGGGTTGGAAAGAAAGTCAGGAAAGACCCCAGGCTTCCTGCAGTGACTGTACATACAGGACACGAGGGGGGTTCACAAGTCCCATGCATAGAGAAATCACTGTCACCTGTCCGTTGCCCTCAGCCCACTCAGTGCTTTTCCAGAGGTCCAGATTGGGCAGAGCGATTTAATAGAGTTTCAGACTTCAGATATAATTTGCAGACAATGGGCAAACACGTGTCCCTTGTTTCTAATGAGACAATGACAAGAGGAAATCAACTCTACATAGAGCAGCAAGGTGGACATCAGGCAAGGCAGCCGTGCACATCATGCATGGGGACTTGATTTTGTCAGTCACTGCCTGGAGACAGAAAAATACTGCAGGGATGTAAATCTGTATGTGCTGAGATGGAAAAATCTCCATATGCTTTTTTTTTATTTTGAGACAGAGTCTCACTTTGTTGCCCTGGGTAGAGTGCTGTGGTGTCACGGCTCACAGCAACCTCAAACTCTTGGGCTTAAGCGATTCTCCTGCCTCAACCTCCCAAGTAGCTGAGACAACAGGCGCCCAACCACAAAGCCCAGCTATTTTTTTGACTTGTAGTTGTCAGTGTTGTTTGGCAGGCCCTGGCTGGGTTCAAATCCTCCAGGTCTGGTGTATGTGGCTGGCGCCCTAGCCCCTGAGCTACAGATGCTGAGCCAAGATGTCCACATGTTAATTGAACAAGTAAGGGGTAGGACATATGTATAAGAAAAATCTTATTTATGTTTAAAAAATATAGATACAGGTAGGTGCATATACACACACACCACACATGCACAGGTACACTTTTTGGAAAGGGATGTGGGATGAGGACATGAGTTATTCTATGCTGTATGGGGATGACCCTGGGCATAAAAGCTTGAGAGGTGAGCCATTAAAGATATTCTGGGGGCCAGGTGTGGAGGCTCACACATATAATCTAGCACTTTGGGAGGCTAAGACAGGAGCATCGCTTGATGCCAGGAGTTCAAGACCAGCCTGGGCAATACAAGGCTACCACAAAAACAAACAAACAAAAATCCTGGGTAGGAGGACTTTGAATCACACAAAAACTTAGAATAAGACAAAATAAACTATGTACCCTCAGTAGAGTTCTGTTGCATCACAGCTCACAGCAACCTTAAACTATTGAGCTCAAGTGATCCTCTTGCCTCAGTTTTTAATTTTTAGTAGAGAGGCGGGTCTTGCTCTTGCTCAGGCTGGTCTTGAACTCATGAGCTCAAGCAATCTACCTGCCTCAACCTCCCAGAGTTCTGGGATTACAGGCGTGAGCCACAGCGCCTGGCCAAATGGTGCTGTTAAGACAAGCTGAGTGAGCTTTGTCTCACAAAGAGAACAGGTGAGGCAGTGTTTCAACCAAGATGGAGCTCTTCTTTTTTTTTTTT